CCCCCTAAGCCCTAAACCGCCTAACTCCTAACCCCCTAAACCCTAAACCCAAAGCCCTAAACCCTAAACCAAAAACCCAAAGCCCTAAAGCCCTAAACCCTAAACCCTAAACCCTACCTGTGACCTGAAAGACCTTCCCTTTTATGGGTCGTTCAGAATAGCTGAGTTCTGGTCCCGAGAACTGAGATTTACACCAAAGGTGCGTAAATTCCCAGAGACCCTTGTTTCCAGGATTGTTATAATTCTTGGGCTTGAATGGGTGCTTTTCAGTGCCGAACAGGTGGTGCAAACTTGCACATGCATCAGTGCTTGGGCTCATGAGGGCCATGTAGGAGGGCTTCGGAAGCTGTGCAGACGGCCGGGGGCTCGGAGCACCATTTGTGTCTCTGCAGAGAGGGAAACCTGTGTGCACATGTTGATCAGATTGATTTTCATCATATGTTTTGGCAGTGATTTTGGGGCCCGAGACTTGTTTGGAAGCGGGCTTTTTGGCTGCAGCCATGCCGTCTTTGAAGGGTGTGGCCGAGAAGTGGGAAAACAACGCCACGGTGCGTTCCCGTGTGCGGTTGTTTGGCACAGCCTTGTCGGAGTCATCGGGCGGTGGGCTGCCGCATGCAAATGTCAAGCAGTGTGCAAAGTTTCGTGATGTCGTGGCACCCTTGGTGACAGCTGTTGTAGCATCGCCTGTTGCCCCGGGAAAGTTGGGAATCTTCACAGTTCACCAAGCGGAGTGTGAGTGACCAGCATCAAATTAATTAGTTTGGTGCCAGATGTTTGTTATCAGTTCGTCTGTTGGTGGAGCAATTCGCAAATCTCTGTGTGGTCTCTTGATTTCGATCGGGTCCAAGGCTCACGAAGCTCTACCGCACATTGAAGGCGCATGTGGATGTGAAGCAGGTCAAGGCCGAAGCTTGGCTCTGCAAGAAGTTCGTCGTCCTCCTCAAGAGGAAGAAGCAGCGGCGGCAAGTGCCACGCTGCGGCGACTTCCGTCACCTCCTCAGCCTCCTCGACGGAGAGGACCATTGGCCATGGGTGCACTTCTGGATTGCTCGGAGCATTCATTCCTTGTGTAAGTTCCGGACTAGCTTGGTGTGTTAATTGAGTTGAGAAAGGATCCCGATGAGGATGGTGGTGTTGGTGGAGAGGACCCCGGCTAAACAGTTGAGTGGAAGGTAGCTTCAAATTGTGGTTGTCATTGGTTCCTGTTGGAAAGGAGACCGATGACAATGGTGATGGTTCCGAGGGCCCTGGCCATGTGCTTGAGTCGGGAGGTGGGACAACATGAATTTGTGCGTGCTGGTTCATGTGATCGTTTTGTGGGTTCCGGCAGGCTCGGTGGATGAAGATGCATCCTTGCATGACAGCGATGTGGAGCTGTTGTCCGGAGAAGATGATGCTGCTGACTGCCAGGCGGTGGCAGACATGAGGCTGGAAGATGATCATGCTGCCGTGGTCATTGATGATGACCCTCCCCAAGATGTGGCCATGGTGGATGCAAGTGCGCCAGCAGAGCCTTCAGGGCAGTCTTCAAAGCCAGCTCATTCAGAGCCAAGTCAGTCTTCAGAGCCATCTCATTCAGAGCCGAGTCAGTCTTCAGAGCCATCTCATTCAGAGCCAAGTCAGTCTTCAGAGCCATCTCAGGCTTCTGCTCCGGTGCTGAGGCGTTCAGGTGCTGTTATGAAAGGGCACACGTTCGAGGGTCCAGTCGTGGATGTGGAAGCACTGGATGTGGTATCATGTGCTCAGTGTGGCCGAAAGCAATCAAAGTGCAAGTGTCTCCTGGTGAAGCAGCTGCAGCAAAGCATTGCCACAATGAAGAGCCATCAGGCTGCTAGGGAGAGGATACCGGGTTTCAAACTCTCTGCTTGCACTACGTAAGCATGTCTTTACCTCGTCTACATGAAATAGTTTCTGTGTGTGTGTATATGTATTCTTGGTACTGTGGGTCTTTGTGTAGATGATGTGTGGGAATGTATATGATGGTGTTGCTTCCTGCAGGAGCCGGGTCGCAAAGGTTTCCAAAGCGGTAGCATCCAAGGCCGATGGGCAGGCCGAAGCTTCAACGACCTCAGGCTTGTTGGGGGAGGTTTCGATTGATTAAGTTGTGTTTGGTTTTGTTAACCGTGGTTGTACAAGGCAATTGTTGGCGATTTTATGTGTAGAACTCTGAAGCAGGTGGGGTGTCGCTTTCAGTGGTCCCGCCATTGGTCAAAGCTGCTGGTGATAACGACGAGACCCAGCCCCTGGACGCAGAGGTCTCGGTTGAAGTGGCCAAGGACTGGATGTCAGCCGCTGAACTCTTGAATGAGAAGGGATGGGAGCCAGATATGAATGAGTTTGCTCCTTTGACTTCTGATTATGTGTTTTGTTGGAGTTGCTTCGTCAGATGCAAGCTGAACTGGGTTTGCACATGTCATTGATCATCAGGTTACTCGACGCCAGCAGCTTGCGGCGGTTCAGGTGGCCACGACTGTCGAAGAGACGGAAGGCCAGCCGAAGGCCAAGGCCAAGGGGAAGGCCAAGATGAAGCGTCCCGCAGCGGCTGCAAAGGCTTCGGCAAAGAAGCGGAAGGGCTCTGCCGAGCTTGCCACCATTGCTGATGGCCCGCCCGAGCGTCCTCAGGCTGCGCTTTCCGAGCTCGGTGTGCCTTTGAACAATCGTGGCGAGGATGAAAAGGCCAATGATTCTGCCGAGCCTGTGGATATGGAGGCCGAGAAGGACAAGGCTGGCTCAGGCTCAGGTGCGAAGCCGAACCCGAAGGCGAAAGCCAAAGGCAAGGCGAAGGCCAAGGCCAAGGGCAAGGTGAAGCCTTGCGAGTCAGAGGCATCGGATGGGGATGTCTCGGATGACAATCGCACGGTGCACTTCGATGAGAATCCACTCCATGCGGCTTTCTACAAAGGGCCAGAAGATGTGCCAAGGCCACCATCTTCGCCAGAGCATTCGGAGCCGGAGTCAGCCGCAGAGGCTGGTGGTGACGGTGTGCCGAAGGCAAAAGGACGGGGACGAGGACGTGGCAAAGGCAAAGGCCGTGGACGTGGCCCGGTGGCCAATGGTTCAGATGGTGCGCCTCCCGAATTGCCTCGCCGGGGCCGTGGCAGGGGCCGTGGCAAGGCGTTCTGTGCCAAAGGCCGAGTTCCGCATGAGGGCGATGAGGATGAGTCCCAAAAAACTTTTGCGCGAAGGCGAATGCCCAGTGCAACGATGAACAAGAACAGGTTCTTGGCCATTCGTGATGCTTTCGACACCATCATTCGGAACAACGTGCCAAAGTTCCCTTCGAAGCAGGAGGACCTCTCTAGCAGCCTCGCCAAGCTGTCATCATTGAACTGAGTATTATGGTCACCGGTTCGCTTGTGTTGTTCACATGTCTACAAATCAGCTGATTGTTCTGGAGTGGTGGCTTTCTCTCTGTTCGGGGAACACAGTTAATTATGTATTACTGCAACGCAACTGTAGGTGTCATCACTCAATTAAGTGCTACCCAACTCTTGAAACATGCAATGACCTCCCCTCAATTTGCTTAGTACATAAATCGTTATATACTTACCCAACCATTGCTTGCCCAACCATTGCACCCCAACCTCGCAGGACCCTTTCTGGACCTTTTGCATGGCTGCGTGGAATGACACGGCTGTGGATGCGGGAACTGATTTTAATCCTCTCGCTCGTGCGGCTGCCAAGAAGTTTTTGCATAAGGAGCTGAAGATCAGAGCTGATGTAAATGTGTGACTGCATCAAGATGCAGTCGTGACTCCAAGTGGAGCACGGCAAGGGCTTCGATTGGGTGTTCAGGCCTGAACTTGGTGAGTTGATAGCTCATGTGCCTCGTGCTCCATAAGTTAAGCAAGGTGTGTTGTTTGTTTGTTTGCTTCCTTCTGTGTTCGTGTGTTTGTTTTTTCTGTGTCTGT